GTGGAACGAAGGAGGATGGCGGGTGCGGAAGAGGAGTCACTGAGACTCTGTGGCTGCCTCCTCCTCCTCCTCCTCCTCCTCCTCCTCCTCCTGCTCTGACTGGGGTTCCTCCGCCGCTGGTTGCTCCTCCTCTGTTGTTGTTTGTTCCTCCTCGGCTGCCGTCTGTTGAGAAGAAGCTCCCTTCCCGTGACGAAAAAATGAATCCAGTGTTGACTGCTTGGTGCTACTCATCTTCTTCTCCTTATAGATCTCGGTGTAGCAACTAAGACTGTCCTCAATTCTGCGTTGAACCTTTGAGCTACGTTCTCTGTTTGGGTTGTCATCTAGAAGCATTTGCATTGCTTGCTTGAACATGTTAAACGATTCTGCCAACCTCTTGGAAGTTAGCGTTCGTGGAGGTTCTTCTTCTTCGTCGTCGTCTTTAACGGGACAAGGGACTGTGTTCTATTAATTGTTGCAGATCTTCGTTGGTGAGCTCTTCTGTATGGGATGTCAGGACATCCTCAATATCCTCTGATTCTAGCTCATCAAAACCTGCCTGTCTAGCCAAGATGAAGATACCCCTATTTACAGCTGGGACTAAGTCCGTGAATCCAGTAAAATTGTTGACGCACTCGGGCCACAGTTTATGCCACACAACATTCAAGCAACTTTCTGAAACCTCTTCCCATGCCTTGCCAATGTTGTCAATTGCCAGCACCTTTTCCACCTTCTCTATCACAGTGTTTCTAGTACGAGTCGTGTTAGTAGCGCTCAGAGAAAAACCACTTCCACTTATCAGCGTTGGTCCCGAGAGTACGCACTGTTGTGGGGGTTAGACCAAGCACAGCGGCTATGTTCACAGCACGTTCCCCTTTTTCAAATCGGGTTAATACATCCATTTTCTTAGCAAGGGTAATAGTCTTACATTGCCTCTTCACTACACTAGCATCAGTAGCACTTGCTGGGCGCTTGAAAGCTATTTCGAATGGTTAGAGTACAATTTTAGAGCAAAAACACTTAAACACGCACTAATGATGTGAAGTCGTAACAGAGACTGGCTTGGCGTCGCTTGGGGATGCTGTGACATTCCGCGAGTGAGGGCAGCGCTGAGCCGAGAGAGCGTAGCGCGGCCAGACAAGAGTGGGTGATGCGCCGTAGGAAGTTGTCCGTGACGACGCAAAACGACGTAGTATCGGATCACCGGGACGTTAAACAAGTGTTTAGTCTCTAAAGTTCAGCGATGTAGTTCCGAAATAACGTTAAGCGAGGACTTACTGTATTCTTATTTTTTTTGCCCGCTAGGTCCCGTTTATGCTCGATGACCTGTACCTGGGTGGGCTATTCCTTGTAAAAAATAAAATAAATAAATAAATAATATATACAGGTCCATTTCTTCAATTATTATTGAACCTATCAGGTCACTCCTTGGATTAACTATTGTATCACCCCAAAGGATATGCCTTCCATTAAAATCACCGAGTATAAGATAAGGAGAAGGAACCGGATGAATTAATGAAACTAAATTCTCCCTGGCAACTGGTGCACTAGGTGAGAGGTAAATGGAGCATATGGTAAAGGTAAATTGGAGGTGAATCTTGCAAGTTGTCTCTTGCAATGGGGAAGTGATAGATTATAAGGATGGCTGCGCCCCCATGATGCATCTGTTCTGGATTATGAGGAGAATAAAAAACTGAATGACCTCTGGGAGGGGGAATGATCATAGGCACCTAACATTGTCTCCTGAAGATAAATGCATATAGGGGAGAATTTGCTCGGTTGCAACTGGAGATCCTCCCTGTTGGTTTGTAATCCTCAACAATTTCATTGGACTATTGTAGCCATGATTATTGGAGATCTAGGTAGGGGTATGTGAGTGTGCGGCCCCCAACAGGCATTTAGGCTTAGTCTTAGTTTGGGTTTTGGAGCCTGGAGGATGCTCTGAGAGTGTACCATGATGTGCACCTCTTACAGTCCCCCTGTTGAAGGGGAGATGGCTTGTGTGTGTCAGTGCTTTTCTCTCCTGCCCCAGGGTTGAAAGAGGTGTCTGTGGCTTTGTGGCCACAGACTACCCAGATGTAGACTCATCCGGTGGACCCACACCAGAGTTAACCCTTGGAGATGGCTTCCCAGAGTGAGGATCTGTAGAGGTAACCCCTGTTCCAGGGGTCCTAGGTGCCAGCTCCTATTTTAGTTTGGGTCTCGTCACCAGATACTTCTGGAAGAGGATCAGTCGGCATCTCTGAGGAGGAGGCACCAGCCTTAGCTGACATCTGTTGGAGTGTCTGAGACTCAGAATAGGTTCTGAAGTTAGCAAAGAGGTCTTGCTTTCTTGGCAACAATTGGACGATTCTACCATCGATACCTTGTTCAGAGGATTGTATACCTCCAGAGACTCTGAAGACCCCCTGTTACGTTTTGCTGAAATTCTGGCAGTACCAGGATGGCTGGTGGAGGAAAGATGAGGAGTATGAGATGTGCCTGCCTCACCCATATGGGCCTCAGCCACTACAAGAGAAGTCTGAGGATTGAGAATTGGTGGCATAGAGTTGGGTGTGGGAGCTGAATTCAATACAGCTACTGATGATTCTCAGGGTGGGGACGCAGCAACAATTCGCCAAGCCTTGTGTTGGGATAGAGCCTGTGCATAGGTATCCCCATGACTTGAGATATATTTCAGTGCTGTGTTTCTGACTTTAGCAAAGCTCAATTTATCTCTTGAGCAGATCTTGAGTATCTCTTTCTTGATTCGGAAATGGTCACATTCACTAGAAGAGGCCAAGTGTGCCTCACTACAGTAATAACAGCAGATTGGACCTGGACATTTCTTAACCTCATGGGCCTTACTACAATTAACACATACTGCAGGAACACCCCGCTGTACCTTACAACAGGAAGCATCGTCTAGGGTTTGGGATGTATGGTTTAACTTAGGGAGATCCAGGCAACCTTGATAGAGGTTGGAATTTTTAAACAATCAAATGTCAATAACAGAGTTGGTATATGGTCAAGAGTGCCATTTTCTTCTTGAGGAACCTATCCACTCTCACCAACTTTTGGTCTTGGAGCTCTTCCAGAAGCTTTTCCTCTGAGTATTGGAGCTGCTCTTTTGAGAATACCACCCCTCGATACTGGTTAAAGGTGGTATGTGGCATTCAAGAGACGAGGACACCAGGTACCTCAGATGGTACAGAGTTAAGCACTCTTCTCGGGGAAGGAGAACTCCACAAGGAGGCTACCATCCTGGTGAGTAGATATATTTGGTTCTCCCACAAATTTTTGTTTTATTGACCTGTGAACATCAAATATGTCCAAGTCCATTGAAGGCTTGCATTCTACTGTACAGAGCACTAGATATTTGGCAAAATCTACCTCCTTGAACACACCTGGTAAGATCTCGCAGGTAGAAGCATCATGGAGGGTGCACGTCCTTGGAAGGGTGCAAGGTCGTCAGGGAGAGTATCTAGTTGGTTATTTGAGTTTTTTTTTGCATTAAAAAAACTAAATTACTTATATTACCCCACCCTCCACGGAGTCCAACAAGGGAAGTCAATTCCAGAGATAAGACCCTGGTGATCCCAGGGTAGTGGGGAAATATACACAGATAACTACCAGGTGTCCAAGACAGCAGCTCCTGGACTATAGGAGTGCCAGGCCCCCTGATGCCTGTTTGACCCTAGCTACACTGTGACCAGCCGATTGACTTGATCAGACCAACTAAGCCACCCATCTAGCTGGAATAGGGGACCAAAGAAGTGTGTTGTAAGCTGCAGGGTGCAGCTTGTGGCGTTGCTCAACCTCCCGGACTCCTGTCTCCCAACATTATGGGACACCACGCAAGGCAAACACATGGAAGAGTATTCCAGCACGGTGGTCTGGGCTGGGGACAATGCTGCCGGTCTGCTCTCAAAACCGGCAGCAGGATAGGAGCCATTTTGTCTGGACCCTCCCTGGTTACCTACCCACTTTGGGAAACCCTTCCCCTCCTTCCAAGGAGGGGAAGGAAGGGGGGCCAAGCCCCCCTCCTGATACTGCTCACCGGATCATCGGAACTCGCAATCCCTCGCACCGCATCAAGGTGGCTTCAACTGTAGGGGGTGAAAGAACTGAGAACCTCCCTCTCACTCAATGGAGATACATCACCTGGGCCTCTCTATTGTAGCTGTATAACAGGACCTGGTGAAAGGGTGCTTTCCTGTCCAGGAAGACTCGAAAAGAGGGTCTCCACCCGCTAGAATATCGCTCCGTAACTCTATCTATAAAATCTGGCAACTGATGCTGATTTACCTTCCTGTTTTATATATTTGCACATATGTTTGTATAACAGTATCAAAATGATATTATCTTAGAAAATCAAATATAAATGTGGGTGAGGGACTGGGCATGATGGGAGAGAAGTCCTGTGAGGGTTGTCTAAGGAATATGGCACCAGCCATTATCTTGCACATCAGAAGCTAGAGCTGTCCCTCCCCAATGTAAGCTGATTTGCCAGAAATTTTAAGGGGTATTACTGTATATACTTGTTGGAACACATACCACTCATTACAGTACAGGTAGTTGTACTGTATTTTTTGTGGGGGAAAATTTCTCATTATAAAAAGTTTTATTGTAAATTGCTTTTCTATGCAACACATTCCCAATGTACAGTCTCGGTCACGATTCTTCGAACACTGCTGGAGACAGCTGGCAACAGGAGGCCGTTTGTTTACTATACGTAGTATGTAGTATAATATAATACGAAACAACAAAACCCAACCATTACTTAAGCAATGGAGAACTAAGTAACCAATCACCGATCACTTTTACAGTTATTCATAATTTTTACTGCGTACTATAGTAAACAACCAGCCTCGAGTTGCCAGCTGTCTCCAGCAGTGTTTGAAGAATCTTGAACGAGACTGTACAATGAGGACCCCCTGCATACTGCATATGGTATTCTTGCCAAGAAACTTTTTTGGCCAATTCAGTGGTCATAATCACTAACAGTTTTATTAAACTTATATTTTCATGTTACCATACAGGAGTATTCGGAGGAAGTGGCAGTGTTGCTTAAACAGCGACAAGCATTGGACGAGGAGGAGGATGTATTTGACTTAGCAGCAACACAGTATCCAGGACTTGATAATGCTATCATAGTTATGAGCCAGTTAAAGGATGTGTTTAATGTCTACCAGCAACTAAGAGTAAGTAGCCAAACATAACCACTATTTTCTTCTGCTAAGATGCAAGTGAAATTATTTGTATGGATTTAAAAGGAGAAATTTGTACAGGGTGTGTCATAAACACTTGATGGATTTTTAAATGAAATAACTTTATAATGCAAAATGGAAAGATTTATTAACGCATGTAGATACAGTACAACTTCGATAAATTGGACTAATTAGGCCAGACCCTACTCCCAAAAATGCGAATGTCCCAAAAAAAAAAAAATCTATGGGGAGGGTTGGAGAAAACACTGCTTATTTGAACTGTTTAAAGAAAATCAGTTGTTTTTATTATGTTATTGCTGCACTTCAACAACGAAAGTCTTTAACTGCATTAGGTTATTAAAACACTATTACATCAACGATAAAAAATATGAAACAGAACTCTCTGGGTTTAAATCAGACATAAGTCTGGTTGTCAATAACTGTTGTCACCAAGATGATTGTTATGTACTGTAAAGTGTTATACTATGTAAGTAGAAGTCAGAAAATCCAGACTGATCGGGGATTGGGTCGGTCCGGATTTTTGGATTTTCAGGATTTTCGGGCAGTGAATTTTGGTGGGCAGATAAGACGGCTGAGGGTCCACCAGAGGGCTTCCCTGTTGACCGAGTCGAAGGCCTTGGTTAGGTCGATGAAAGGCATGTACAGGTCAGGATGCTGATCCCCTCTCTTTTCCTGTACAGTGGTCCCTTGGTTAACGAATGCCTCGGTGAACGAAATTTCGGTTAACGAATTACATTCCATAAGAATCTTCAATTCGGTTAACGAACAAAAATTCGATTAACGAAATTCTTACGAAAATGTCAACATGTTTTGGCTTGCTCATCGGCTGGTAGATTAGTCCGCTAATACAGTAATGGGTTCTAGGGCTTACATTTGTTTCCATTGGAGTAAATATCAAGAAGGTTGTACTATTCAATATTTTTCCAAGTTTTATATTAAAATTAATAGTCATTTTAACACGTATTTAACATAATTGCAGTACAGGGAACTAGTTTTTGGTGCGCCCATCAGCTATTTCACTCGTCCACCAAGGCGGCTGTTTGTGTCTGTTCAGTGGAGGAAACATCTTGCTTGTTGGTCTCTTGAACACAGAGTATTTTTATGTTTTTCAGTACAATTATTGGACATTCTGAAATTTATTTAACATATTGATAATATATAGCTCAGTGCAGTGTTGATTTATAGAAAATAATAATCTTGAATTACACCTAGTGAACTTAAAATTTTATTGGTGAAATGAGGCATCATGCATGGGTCCACTGAAAGGTGATTTCTCCCCACTTCCTTCTCTTCTCCCTTCTCCTCCACCCCCACTTCTAATTCCCATCATCATCATTAGCCAGGAGCCTTCTACATACACACCTCAGAGTAAGTGTGCTTTACAGCATTTTTTATTTACTTTGTATGTACTTTTCGGTGAGCTGGAAACAGTTACCCAATATCCCATTGAAACAATGGATTCGGTTAACAAAATTTTCGGTTAATGAACAACCTTCTGGAACGAATTGTGTTCGTAAACCAAGGGACCACTGTATTTGGCGGGCAGCAAAGATCATGTCAGTGGTGCCACGTGATGGTCTAAAACCTCATTGACATTCTGGGAGGAAGTTTTTTGCCTCAGGAAGAAGTCTGTTTTGGAGGGCTCGGGCGATAATCTTGCCAGCTACGGAGAGCAGCGAGATCCCACGGTAGTTGCCAGTCTGACCAATCTCCCTTGTTCTTATAGATATTGACAATGGTGGCATCTTTAAGAGCTTGGGGGATTTCCTCCTTTTCCCATATATTCTCCAAGAGAGAGTGGGGATGGCTGATAAGAAGAGTCCTCCTGCATTATACACCTTGGCTGGGATTCTATCAGGCCCTGAGGCTTTGTTATTTTTCATCTGTTTGATGGCAGTAGCTACCTCATCCAGGGATGGAGGATAGCTGGGGTGGGTCAGCCCTGCATGGTGAGGGACCTGCTGGGTAGTCAAGACATCCACATTGTCTTTAATTATGGAGTTACCGTCGGATGAGCGGAGGGAGGCTGCGCCACAAGTGACTGGCCCATAAAAAGTTTTAATGAAAATTGAAAAATTCGCGCATGTTGTGCTGATCTGCAATTTTTTGTAGTTCACATGCTTTATTTTTAAGCCACTCGTTCTTTAAATTGCAAATTTTTCACTGGGCAGCTGCTATATTTTTGTGTAAGGTATCAGCTTTGATCCGAGACAGAGAGTTGTTTTGCCAGTCAGTAAAAGCAGCACATTTATCATTGATGAGTACTTTGATCGCCGGGTCATTTTCATCAAACCAGTCCTGGTGTGTTCTTTTGATCTGGCTGAGGGTCTCTCTGCAGGTTTTTGTCATAACAGTGTTGAGAGTATCCCATTCGGCACTGGGATTCCCGTTGTTTGCTGTTGGGTTGTTTATAAGCCCATGTTCGAGCTGCTCTCTGAAACCATGTGCTACCGCTGGATTCTTCAGACGCTTAGTATTAAAACCTTTTCTGGAGGCTTCTTGCCTTCTCCGTTTTGGGGGTGACTTGAAGTGACAGCTTGGCTCTGATAAGTCGATGATCAGTGTCACGGTGGTCTGAGCCACGCATGGCACGGGTGATGAGGACATCTTGGCGATCTCTTTCTCTAACAATGATATAGTCAATGAGATGCCAGTGTTTGGATCGTGGGTGTTGCCACAAACCCTTGAACTCGTCCGCCTGCCTAAACAAGGTATTGGTGATAGTGAGGTTGTGCACAGCACACTTGCTGAGGAGGAGTAGGGCATTGTGATTACACTTACCTAGTCCATTTCTCCCTATGGTTCCCTGCCAAATGTTAGCATCCTTGCCAACTATGGCATTGAAGTCACCAAGGAGCACAACCTTGTTTTCTCTGGGGATATGGGTTAGCACTCTGTCGAGGTCGGCGTAAAAGGCCTCCTTGATGTCATCCTCTGCATCCAGTGTTGGGGCGTATGCACTGATGAAAAAGGCATGACCTGAGAGATTCAGTGGGACTTGAAGCGTCATGAGGCGCTCGTTGATCCCAATAGGCATTTCAGTTATTCAGTTAACTTAAGTAGGATGTGTTGGCAGATGGCAAAGCCAACTCCATAAATGCTCTTTCTCTCTGCAACAGGCTTCTCCTTCCAGAAGAAGGTATAGCCAGTCCACCGTTCTGTGAGTTGGCCCTCATCTGGGAGCCGGGACTCACTGATGGCTGCGATGTCGATGTTATACCTAGCCAGCTCTTTTGCCACAAGGGCAGTTCTTTCAGGACACACATTTGTGCCAGTATCCAGAAGGGTCCTGACATTCCATGCAGTGACCATAAGAGGTTGTATGGTTTGTTTTTATTTGGATCTGTGATTTTGATTATGATTTCGACCGCAGTAGGATGACCCTATTGGGTGCGGTTGCCCAGTCAGGTTGGGTTTTTAGGCAGATTATGTATAGGGCACCTTTTCTAGCCCCTTCCCCTTGTGGGGTGAGCAGAGTGGCTCCTTGTAAAGGCTGCTCAGTCACACAGACAGGACCAGATTGCACTGCCGCCTAGATCCCAGTGCATAAGCGACCATCTTATCTGTGCCGTCCATGTGCAGAGTTGTGACTAGAGACTCCCGGCAGTCATCTCTGCCCGTCGCCGTCACCACTCGTCCAGCGTCTTAGGAATTTTGGGGGTATAGGGTTTTGATGATGATGAGAGGTATGATGAGCTGGAGGATGGATGTGCGTAATTTGAGTTATGTGGTGAGGCAGGAGCGCAGGCTGGAACCACACATTTGGCTCTCCGTTTTCCTGATCCAGTGCTGCAAGTGTTGCAATGACTGGGGAGAGGGAAAGTTGCAGTGGACTGCCGACATCCCAGTTTGTTGGGTTTCACCTTTGTAGCCTGTCCATCAGGCATTGTCTTTGTCTGCCGGTGTAGTTGTTGGGTTCGCATGGTGGCCACCTCTTCCGCCTATACTGCCATTGGGGTCTTGTCGGGGCTCTGTAATCATGTCTACCTGATTACTCCCGTAGCCTTAAACCTGCCAAAGTTAATCCGCAAGGCAGTGGGGCGGTGGTTGGTAGGTGCCAGGACGTGTCCACACGTCAGTGGACCTATGAACTGTCCCCCTGGGACCCACTGCTATTCTGAGATCTCCTGCTGATCTAGCCTGGGCCCACAAGGCACCCAATTACCGGCACACACACACACACACACACACACACACACACACACTTACTTCATCCTTGACCACCCAAGGGTCAAGACGTACCTGGCGCTCCTCTGGGACCAAACAGGTCAACTGTTAAGTTGGGCCCATATCAACTCCCTCCCCTGAACTCCTCCTCCTACCCAACGGAATATCAACAAGTTCTCGCCAGAAGTTACTATTTCATTTAGGAAAGGAATGGAACCAGTGTTGAATAGTGGTGAATAGTGCTTAAGTAAGTGAAAAACAACTCAACAATAACAAGTGAGTCGTACCCAACCTAACCTTCACACAGTGAGGTCCCGGGTACTCAGTTATAACTGCCCGTGAGACACAACAACACCAGCTATGTGTTAATCTGTCCACGATACTGAGGCCTCGGACCACACCTCACTCACTCACTTGAGTGAGTGAGGTCTTGTGACACCAGACCACGTGGTTCCCCATGATGCTAATACACCACGTAGTGAATGAGTTGCTACAGCATCATGTAAGATTCCTCATAACACCATCTGTTGTGAGGGAATTTGTACTCTATCTGTGAGGGAATTACTAAACCACGTCAGGTCCTCATAATACCATCTGCGAGGGAATTACTACACCACATTCGGCCCCTCATAACACCATTTGTAAGGGAATTACTACATCACGTGATGCCCCTGATAACACCATCTGCGAAGGAATTACTGCACCACATCAAGTCCCTCATAACACCATCTGTGACGGAATTACTACACCACGTGATGCCCTTCATAACATTATCTGTGAGTGAGTTACTACACTACGTGTCTAAT